TTCCATTATAGCCTGACATCTGATCTCCAGAACCAACACTTAGGATCCCTTAGGAAAAGCATTTAACCCTTGCAGGTGCAAGGTTGTCATTTATCTGTCATCTTTATAAAATCCATTGAAGTATACTTACAAGAGAGGCTCAAAATAGTTCTCATTTCCCCTGAGTTCCAAATGGGAGTTGGGACTCAGTGTGTGATCGGCAAAGAAGCTGGACAGATGTCTAATGCCAGGTCTCGGCAGCAGCTCAGCAAGACTGCTGCACTTGATACAGTGTTCTGTCATTCCTGCTGACTTTGATATATGGAATTCCATACTTGAATGCAGATGAAGTCGGGAGTGGGGGATTCATACACTGGACCCCTTCTGAAATTTGTTTGGAAAAATTCAGGGACTAGAAGATGAGTTAATAGCTGTCTCATTTGAGCTGGGCATCTCAGTTATATTTTATAGGTTTGAAAAGAACCCTTGAAGAGAACATACATCAACCCAGGGGGCTTAGCAGGATCTTAGAGGAATGAGCTGAAATTAGTTGGGATCTGAAAATTAACACCCTTCTGCTGACATTTAATGACAAAGGACAGGGTTGTACTTGTCAGAGCCTGTCAGTGAGCAGTTCCCTGGGGAAGCAGGGGACAGAGTCTGAAGAATCCTGTGTCTGGTGCCAGACAGCCTGGCTTTGAATCCAAGCAATGGGACTTGGATACATTAGTTAACCTCGGAGCTTCTTGTTTTGTCACTGGTAAATGGTGATACCGTCTCCGAGGGAGGAGGGGTTAAAGATGATTAAATGGAATAATTCTTGCACAGTCAACTTGGAGCAGTTAGCAAAATTCCAACAGGGTCCTGATGGGGCTGGGAAGATGGGCCAGGCCATCTTCCCAGTCATGTGGGTGTTTGCTATATTTGTCACTTGGTGACACTTTTGTGTTGGGATTCCGCATAAGATATGCTACCCTCTGAGTTCCGTTGTGGAAGAAGTCAGCAAATCTAAGGCAGAGATCTGGAAACCCTTCCCGAAGATGGTCTCCAGATTGAGTTTAGGTGGAGGGAACCTTTGTGCTCAGAGACAGTTAAAGGTTGGACTGACCTTTCTGAATTCACGGTGGAAATAATCCTCATACTTGCAGAGCTTATGGTGAGCCCAGGATGCCATGATTTGTGGGACGGGGGCAAGGAGGTGTTGACGGATAGAATTATCAGATATGAAATACTGAAATTATGACTCAAGAGTGACTCACCATAGGTGGGCAAGGGCACAGTCGTGCCTTTCAAGATTTCTGGGTTTGATGTATACGTTGTTAAGTAGTTCTCACTCAGTGGACCTTTAGCACTAGTAACCCTCTCGACACTATTGTGGCTATGGCTCTCACTCTTTTTTTTTAATATTTATTTATTTTTATTGGAAAGGGAGATAAATAGAGAGAAGGAGATACAGAGAGAAAAATCATCCATCTGCTGGCTTAACTTTCCAAGTGGCCGCAACGGCTGGAGCTGAGCTGATCTGAAGCCAGGATCCCAGAGCTTCTTCTGGGTCTCCCACGTGGTTGCTGGGTCCCAAGGCTTTGGGCTGTGCTCGACTGTATTCCCAGGCCACAAGCAGGGAGCTGGATGGGAAGAGGGGCCACAGGGATTAGAACCGGCCCATATGGGATCCTGGCATGTTCAAGGTTAGAACCTCAGCCACTAGGCCATCATTCCAGGCCGCCACTCTCTTAATAGCCACCATCCCCTCACCATCTCTCTCATCGTTCTCACACTACCACCACCGTCATAATTCTCCTATCTTCAGGACCGCAGTCGCGCAGTCACAGTAACTTAGGGACTCCTCATCTCCCTGGAGTTTCTCTCTCACCTGTTCTGACTTGTCATCACTCCACCAGCTCTGTGGGCTTGGGAAGAAGCTTGCAAGAGTATTTAAAAAGTTTTGCTTCCGACTAATTTCAGAAAGAATCATTGATCTTTGTCATTTTGTGTCTAAGTAATACAAGATATTAGATTGATTCATTACATTTCAAACAGTTGTAATTTTGGAGCTTTTGATTAGATTTGTTTAATCTCACACAGTTGCTGATGCTGCTCCAGAGAGCAGAATTTCTAGGGAGCATTCTTATGGTCTCCACCCCTTTGCCTTTCTTCCTGTGTGCCCCCAGGATGCTGTCCCAACACAGAGTGTGTCTGCAAAATGATTTTTTTTTAAGATTTGTTATCTTCATTGAAAAGTCAGATTTACAGAGAGAAGGAGAGGCAGAGAGAAAGAGCTTCTGTCCACTGGTTCACTCCCCAAGTGGCTGCAATGGCCACAACTTAGCCAATCTGGAGCCAGGAGCCTCATCTGGGTCTCCCATGTGGTTGTAGGGTCACAAGGCTTTGGACCATCCTCGACTGTTTTCCCAGGCCATAAACAGGAGCTGGAAGGGAAACAGAGCAGCTGGGATATGAACTGATGCCCTCATGGAATTCTGACACATGCACGGCGCAAGGATTTAGCCACTAGGCTGTCACACAGGGCCCTGCAAAGATCATCATTTCTGTGTCTAGGTTGCACAGGGCTCGGCCTGGTGCATGCTTGAACAAAAGGGAAAGGAGTTTTTTAGGATGCACTCATTCCCTCAAAGTCTGTTCTGCTTTTGGGGCAGGATCAGATGAGCCTGTTCAGAGTTAGGTAGTAATGACAGGCCAACAATGGGCAAAGCCACGGAGTAAAGCATGAAGTGTAGGGTCCTGGCTCATTGAAGAGGTGGAAGGGGGTGATAAGTGATGGGCGGAAGGTGCCTCTGTCCTGGCTGGGTGTGTTCTCCTGCCTTTGTACTGGTCTGTGTTGTCTCTTGCACATTTAGGTCTCTCTGGATCCCTTCACTTTTCTCACCATCCCTTTTCTCCAGAACTAGCTTGAAATTGACCTGCAGGTGGCCCTCCTACTCCCATATCATGTGACCACATAATGCCCAGTTGTCTACCAGTGCCCTACTTTATCCTTTCTTCGTCCTCTTGCCTCAGACCATTAGCTTCTCAGCACAAGATAGGTTGCTCACAGCCCTGCTTGTCTTTCCAGCATCTTGAAACAGTGTGTTCTGAACATGCTTTTGGCTTAAATCGGGTCATGGTTCTATTTCCTGTTTGGAAAGGACAGTGATTTTTAAAGATGGAGAAGCTGAGGACTTTCTCCATAAGAGAAGCGAGGGAGGTGCTGTTCATCTTCTTCCCCTGTAATTCAGTTGTGTGTTGGACCCTCATGCTTGGAGACGTACTAGGACTGGGCTTGCAGACTTCAGGGTTAGGATACAGGGCCACCTCTCCTCTGGGTAGAGATGAGTAAAGTGATTTGCCTTTTGCAATTTCTTCTCCATGGTGACTTTTTTTTACAACAGTGTGTGGTGAACTCTCTCCTCAGTTTGGGCACTTCATATGCATTTTTCCACACAGTTTTGGAGAGACCTTGTATGTATGGATTTCAACATCTTTTTCATCAAAATTAGCTTTAGGTTCTATTTTCAAGAACTTTGAGAAGGTCTTTCATTTTCCTTCTTACCCACCATGATTGCCTTTGGATTAAAGTTCGCAAGGTGTGTTAGTTTATAGATTAAATACAAATTTTGGGGAAATGATTAGAAATGCTTTTGCTTTATTTTTCATTGACTTTTCTTTTGTGCAAATAGATTTTTTAAGGAGATGATTAAAAATACTCATTTTCTGGAAATGTTATGCATCTGCAATAAATAATAAATAGCGTGACAGTTGGCTGCCTCCCCTTCATGCAAAATAAATAAATACATTTGGTGACATACATTTGAGAAATGCAGTTCCTGTAATTTTTACAGAAATAAGAATCAAATTTACAGATGATAGAGATTTTACCATCTGCTCATAACAAAGAAACAGCCCGTAACATGCAGTGCTTGCTGAGCTTAATGTACATATATTAGCTTGCCAGGCGTCAGTGTTCTCTGCAACTTAAGTCTGCCCTGCCCAGGGAAGCTGACCTGACTTTAAGCATATCTTTGCTTTTGAAACAAGTAGGCTGGCCTTCCCATTGCTCCAAGTGCAGAAGATTGAGGGGGCAGGGCTTTCCCTGGAAAGGTGAAGAGGGCTGAATACCTGCATGGATTTCACCTGCAGTTGGGGGAGGAGTGGACTCCCTGTGGGGAAGTTACTCCTTGTGCCTCTACATGTTGAATGTTGATGGAAACCTCGAAGTTCAGAAACTCAGCCATGGTGATGGGAAGGCCAGACTATGGCGTCCAAGGTGTTATCTTAGCTCCCTAGGTATGAAGTGTCACTTGGGGGTTCTGCATCTGGCTAAGGCTCAGTGCTCAGCGGAGGCTGTAGAGCTGCCTGCCAAGGGAGAGAAACCCGAAAGAAGCTTTCTAGGAAGCTTTTCTTTCCTTTGAGGAAGTGGGGGTGACTGCCCCTGGGGATTCTGGTCTTATCGGATGGTGTGCAGAGGTATGCATTGTGGAGACTCTGGAAAAGCATGGCCAGTGGCTTTCTAGTAGCAGATTAAGTGTGAGTGCTCCTGAGCATGTTTAATCCTCTTAGTATTAGAAGCCACAGGCTGGTTATGCAGGCAGAACCTCAATAGAGATTTTTATCAAGAGCTGATCTGCGTCTTGGCATGCTGTTTGGTATCTTCCAGCTTAATGGGATTGGGGAAGGAAGCAGGTTAAAGAGAAACAGCCTCCTGCTCACCTCTGACTTCTTCAAATTTTAATACAGTCCTTACTCCCAGGCCCTGGAAGATATGTATTGAGTCTGATAATCTACTCAACCTAGGTTGCCTTTCATTCTACTCTCTTTGTTGTGCACATCCAAGCCTTGTTGCAAAACGAGAGGAATTTATAAGTTTGTTTTCATTGCTGCCTGGTGCCATCATCTCTGCCCTTTCTGTCATTTCCACTGGTTGGACCCCTTAGAGCTCTGGGAAAACTGGGGGAATACTCAGGTACACCAATAGGCTGCTCAGGCTTAACAAGTTTTACCGTCTGATGGTGTTTGTGTTGCAGGGGTGAAGACATCTTAAACCAGAGGAACGAGCCCCTCGTTGTGGAGTTTCAGTCTTCAGCCAGCAGATGCAGGAGGTATTGTTTTGGGCATGGATGGGCACTACTCAGCAGCACAGCCATCATCCCCCGGGAGTATCTGTGTCCATCCCGCAGACAGCCACTCTGTGTCACAGCTGACTCGTGTGTGTGTGTGTGTGTGTGTGTGTGGTTGCTTTGGCTTGGAGGAGGGAGGCGTGTGTGCATGTGAAAGTCTCCCTGCAGGAAGCTTTACTGACACTGCATGTGTCAGAGAGGGCAGGCGTGGCATTGCTTGCCGGACACACTTGACCTGTTTGTTTTTTTTCCCCCTAAACTAATGTCAATTTTGTTTCAAAAGTTAGTAGTTCCTGGTAAAGCTAGAGCTGTCCTGTAGGTTCAAGACCCTTGCATGCTAACCCATCGCATGAGTCTTGTGTTGTCAGAGCAGTGTCCGTTTGAAACCCATGGGGTGTTTGCACTGTAGTTGTTCATAAGCAGGAAGGTGCTCCTGCATCTTTACTGCATCGAAGGCTTGGTTCTGTGAGGAGGAGTACCATCCCACCGCATCCCCCGCAGCGTCACACATGCATTCCCACTGTTGTGCTGCTCACTTTCAGCCACATGATTGATCTTAGTGACTGTGGTATTGGAGCTGCAAGCCTCTTAGATGGTGAAGATTCCAGAAGCAGAAGCCTTTCATTATATAAAGGTCACTGGTTACACTCCCAAACCTAATAACTTTCGGTAATGTGCTAAGGATGAATTAACATGCTAATAGTCTCCATGTTCTGGATATTTTAGCATTCTCTCATTTTAAATTTAAACTCAGTGCCATAGGTGCTGTATCTGCCTTGCCAGAAGCATGCTTAGCGTCCCTTCTTAGAAAATTTAAAATACATTCTGGCTACACACACAGGCTAGGATAAGAATATTTTATTTTATGATTATTTTGTTTGTGTTCCCTGCAGCTACATGATACAAATATTCTTTCACTAAAGATACCTGTTTAACTTTTTAAAAGCATCACGATCTTTTAATCCCACCTATCCCTCTATGATGAACGATATTTTAATGGCAGGACGTTGGGGTTTGTGGCACCTGAAGCTGTGTCTAGCCTGTTGTGTAGATTCAGTTCCTGTTTAAACCTTGTAACAAGGCCACAAAATGTCCCTGCCTGTCAGTGAAGACCAGGGCGTGGGGAGAGGTTGAATACCTTCTCCTTCTTGTGGGTTTTGCCCAGTGGGGAACCCCAGTTGGTGAGCGAGTATCTCTGCTCCCAGCCTGGATGCATCAGAACAAGTGGGAGCTGCTAGGGGTGGGACGATGAGAGCATGCGCACTGAGTGGGCCTGTCAGCACGTGAGCCCAGGGACGATTTTATGGGTAGTGGGAGTTCTTCTCCCCATCGGTTGTGTGAACTCTGCAGTCTACACTGCAGCCATGTGACTTTGGCCCGTAAGCCTCTTACACAGCCCTTCCTAACACCAGGCTGAATGTGCCCCTTTATTTCCTCCTCATTAAGGGCAGGGAACACCTTCGTTCACCCTTAGTTCTTCCCATTGCCAGGCTTCTTGACACTTCATTATTGTGTCTTGGGAGGACAGATACTTGTTTTCCTCAACCAAAAGACCGAGTACCTCGGTGACACAGCATGATTCAATTTCTCGTCTTCCCTCTTGTCGCCTGCCCCCTTTCCTTCGGGCACAATTTTTGTTGTTGTTGTGATGAGTGATCCTGTCAAATGCATCAGAAGGAAGAATGGATTCAGTGATCGCTGAACGACTTGACTAACAGAGATCAGAGGAAGGCTTGTAGCTGTGCAGACTAGTGCAGTGTGGAGTTTTAACAGCTCTTGTGGGAGCTGGTTAATGAAAGAATCACGGCACAAACACAGCCATGCAGAAACACAATGCAAAGCAAAAACTTGAAGAAGAGGCTGTGGTCGTAACAGCCAGAGATGGTGCTATCTTATGAGGAAGCATGCTCATAATTTCTATTTACGCATCACTGTAATTACCTTTTGCTGTAGGATTACTCTCCATCTTCCCCTGTGGAAGTTCCATAAGTAGTTCTTCCTCTTTCATGAATCTGGTGCTGGTTGAAACTTGCCCCGAGGATTCCTGCCACCCCTCCCCAAGGATGTAATTAGCAAGGGTTCCAGCTCATGCGACCTGATCAGACTGACTTGACTCTGTCATCACTGTGCTCCATGAGCCAGACTTCTGCACTCTGACCAATGTGACGCTGGGCTTGACCAAACTTTCCTATTTTTTTAAAGGATTTATTTTTTATTATTTTTATTGGAAAGGCGGATATACAGAGAGGAAGATCTTCTGTCCAATGATTCACTCCCCAAGTGAGCACAATGGCCAATGCTATGCCGGTCCGAAGCCAGGAGCCTCTTCCAGGTCGCCCATGCGGGTGGAGGGTCCCAAAGCTTTGGGCCGTCCTCGACTGCTTTCCCGGGCCACAGGCAGGGAGCTGGAAGGGAAGCGGTGCCCATGTGGGATTAGAACCGGCACCCATATGGGATCCCGGGCATGCAAGGCGAGGACCTTAACCACTTGCGCCATCGCGCCGGGCCCCAAGCTTTCCTATTTTTGAGTGCGATTGTTTTGTTTGCTCTCTCCTGATGCAGTGTCTATGAGCCTGATAGAAATGCCCTCCGGAGGAAAGAACGAGAAAGAAGAAACCAGGAGACCCAACAGGATGTCAGCACATTTGCTTCCAGTTATTCTCTGTTCAGTGAGCCCTACAAGGTAGATGGCTAGCACTCTTTCATGTCCCTGCCTTAATTGTACTCCTGTGGTGACAGCTATGACTAGAGCTGTTGAGTAGCCCCGTGACTTGTTTGCTGCTTGAGCTGGGAGAGCTGGCTTGGGTTCTAAGAATTCCTAAGTTTCCTGAATGGTTTACTCCCTCAGTCAAATGTAACTTGTGTTGACTTTCCCCGCGGATATTTCAGACTCAGTGCTGTTTGCTGGGTTTTCTAAGTTCTCAAGAATCAGGCCTTATTAGAAAGAGATTAACTTAACCTATTTTTCATGCAAGGCTCATGGTTAGGATTAGGGCGTCTGTTAGGACTAATCAGAAGGAAACCACTAGAGTATTTCTCCTGTGGTGGAAAACGAGGACCTGAGGCACTGAATGGGCTTCTGTCCCGTGAATGTTATTGTGGCGATGGTGATGGTGACTACTCTCCATGGTCAGCATCATCCTCCTCCCCACAAATTCTTTTTTTAAATATCTTAGACTGCAAATGGTGAAGGAGAAAGAAAAAGATTAATTTTTCTTTATGCCAAATACCAGAAATACAGCTTCTCTTCCAATGTTACCTTCCCACATTTTACTAACAAGCAGATATTTCAAACTGTTGGTGGAAATGGAATTCAAGATTAAATTTATTTTTGCAGAAGAAAATCTTGAAGTCCATTTGTATGAGGACCCTGAAAAGTTTGTGCAAAATGGGTCTTGGGAAAAAACTGTGCACAGATTTAAAAATCTCCATGAAAATAAACTAAACTTGTCCCTTAGTTCTGTTTTCCATGAATCTTTTGAAGTACCTGCTATCTTCAGCTACATGGAGCTCCAAGTAGTTCAGGCTGGTAGACTTTATACACATTGAGCTCCCATGTAGCTTCTGGGGTTTACTCTGACTTCTCTGGGCTTTCACTCTAGGGTTTTGACAAGAATAATTAAAGTTTTTTTTTTTCTATTGGAAAGGCAGATTTTAGAGATAAAGATCTTTCATCTGCTGGTTCACTCCCCTAAATGGCCACGGTAGCCAGAACTGAGCCGATCTGGAGCTGGAAGCCAGGAGATTCTTCCAGGTCTCCCAGACAGGTGTAGGGTCCCGAGGCACTGGAGCACCTGCTGATTTGCTAGCCCCTAAAGAGGGAGCTGAAAGGGAAGTGGAGTAGTTGGAACACAAACTGGCTGCCACATGAGATGCTGGTGCTTGGAGGTGGATTAGCTAGCTGAGCCAATGTGCCAGCCTGTTTCACGAGGGAAATTATGCATTTAGTCATTGGAAGCAGATTAATCCTGGTGAAATCTGAATTGTCAAGAAAAGCTTCCAATGGTACTAAACAGAAAAAAGAATCCCATCCAGGAAAGACTTAATCTAGACCATTTTGTGAATTTGCCATGGTAAATTTCCTGATTTTCAGGTAATGCAGTTTAGCTCTAACACAACAGCAAGGGTAGGTTTCCATTTTCTGTGCCTTAGGGCTGTTATAGGTCTCCAGTTCTGATGATACAGACAAATGTAGGTGTGTCTACAGAGGAAGTGAGGAGTCTGATGTCCCGTTCTGACTGGGACGACCCTGGCTGTGTGATTGAGAAGCGCGCCTGTCCATAGTTCCTGTGTTTGTGTTGCCTCTAACAAGAATGCTGGATGTGTTTCTCTTTGTCCAGACCAACAAAGGGGATGAGCTCTCCAACCGGATCCAGAATACTTTAGGCAATTATGATGAGATGAAAGACTTTTTAACTGATCGATCCAATCAGAGTCATCTTGTTGGCGTCCCTAAACCTGGGGTTCCGCAAACGCCGGTAAACAAGATCGAGGAGCATTTTGTTCCAGATTCAAGAGCCCAGACCCAGCCCTCCTCTGTTTGTAGCACCACATCTTCCACGCCTGCAGCTGTCCCTGTGCCACAGAGCCGGAGGAGCACCATGGGCTGGCAGAAGACGGGGCACCCGCCGCCTGATGGCCACCAGAGATCAAGTAAGCACTGGTGGAGGTGCTGGCCTTGCACCCCTCTGCCAGCCTCAGACCATGATACTAATCACTCTGTGCTCATCCTTCTTCCTCATCCTTTTCTTCTTCCTCTCCTCCTTCCAACTCAGCACAACAGGGCTCTCTGAGGACCTTGCTTGGAGATGGTGTTGGCAGACAGCAACCACGGAGCAAACAAGTGTGCAACGTAGAGGTGGGGCTGCAGACCCAGGAAAGGCCACCTGCCATGGCAGCCAAGCACAGCAGTGGCGGCCACTGTGTTCAGAACTTTCCTTCGTCCCTGGCTGCAAAACCCAGCCTGGTCCAGCAGAAACCTACGGCGTATGTGCGCCCCATGGATGGCCAGGAGCAGGCTCCTGATGAATCTCCTAAGCTGAAATCCTCTGCGGAAGCTGGCGTGCACTGCACCTCCTTCAGGGGAGTCCCCGCCACCAAGACAGAGTCAGCCAGAACCAAAACCAAGCTTTCCAAGTTCATCCCCAAGCAGGCAGAGGTGAGTCTTTTCTCATTACCACTGGCATGGCTGAGAAGGCACAGCTGAGCATCTGAAGGGATGTGTAATTCAATTCCGTGTTTCGTTTTTTCAGTGATATGAGTGAATTTGTGTGATTTGTAAAGCCATCGCTAAATGGGATGGTAGACGCAACTACTGACGTCTGAGAATCCCAAATGTGTTATATTGTGTTATAGTGCGAACTTTTTTACAATACCAGTAGGTGCAGGTAGGTGTCTGCTTGGGTGTAGGTATGAGTTTTTGGAGGGAATGCCTTGTGAAGAAGCTGATGTTGACTCAGATATTACATGTGAGAAACGAAGACAGTCCAAAAGCTATAGTTTTTTTATATAATAGAGTTTAGAAGCTTTTAAAACATTTTAGTACATTTCAAAATGCTCTGAGGTGGACAAAACAAAACAATATTTTAAAAATAGTTATTTAAATGATTCAGTATTAAATATGGTGACTGTTGAAATGTATTAAATATCCCATTCCGATTGAACTTTCTAAGATTGAGATTTTATTAGACTAGAATCCTGACTTGAACTCTTTTTCAACCTGTAAAGATAGTGTTAGGTTTTATGAACAGAAGGAAGTATTTTATTTCACATTTTGGTGGCCTCCAATTTGACTTTAAAGTATTTATGGAATCACAAAAGGTATGGAATGGATATATTGAATATTAAGCTTGTAGATAAGGAAATGGCATGATCACAGAGGTGACAAAGAGGTGATGACTAGTTGATTGAACAATAAATCTGGATGAAAAAATGTAGCTGTTTTAGAGAAGCACATCTCATCCTCTGTTCCAAGTTGATGATGCTTGTCCAGATCACATGAAGAGGAAATGAGACTGTGCCCTTTATGTTAATGTGCAATACTGACCAGAATGAAGAGTGTGTTGTAGAATACGGTGCTTTTTTTTTCCCCCAATTTGATACATTCTTTAAGGATGGAATAACAATATATCCAGGATATTCTTGGTCTCTTAATTTCACAACCAAGTGATTTGACACTTCCTGTTGCTCAGTGATGAGGCTGAGCGTAAACCTTTCTGAGCTGTCATCTCAGAAATCCCTATGGACCACCTGGGAGAGCAGCGCTGTTCCCTCCCCCTTCCCCCCCAGGGAAGAGACATTTCTCTGAGATGGGGACCGACCCAGATTTTGAAAGTTTGCTTAGGAATCAATGGGAGCAAATGCCATGTTGGTAAGACCTTCTGTAGGATACACACATGGATGCGGTCTCACAAAACTGACTTTGCCACCATTTGACTCCTGCCGTTATCCACTGACCTGTACTGGGAGGTCTAGCCAGCTCCCCTCTTGTAGTGGGACTGACTTTGGCAGTAACTGGGGATCCCTGCATGGCTGCAATCCCATTTACCTCCATGATACAATGACTTTACATCTACCAAAGAGAGTTGTAATTTATTAAGTGGTGATTGGTTGATTGTGTAGCTCAGGACCTTGGTAGAGCTGGTTCCACGGTGACAGTGAACTGCTGGTTACCCAGGAACCATCTGCATGAAAGAGCATTTTGGAGTGCTTAATGATAACTGGGACACTCTCAGGACTGCAAGTTTGAACATGACCCCTGGGTGCTGGTACTGGGTCATCAGAAAAAGGGAAGAATGATTGAGATAGGAGGCACAGCCAGAGAAAGCGCAGATTTTGTGGGTTTTTTTGGCTGGAATTGTTTTGTTTCCTTGATGTAGAACCCTACTGATCCACCCATCCCACATGCCTTCTGCCGTTCTGTACTGAATACCTCAAAGAGGCCAGTCATGCATTGATAACAGAGGGAAAAAGTTATAACCTTTTTCTAACTTGTGTTTTTGGTTGTTTTTTTTTTTTAAGTGTGTGTGTGTGTGTGTGTGTGTGTGTATTGCAGTCCTTAGGTTAGTAAAAAGCTTGGCATGCATGGAATGGTATTGCAGTTTGGTTTCTCCAATACTGGCCTGTTCAGTCCGCCCACTATCATGGTCAGAGGTGACCCTTTCCTAGAGAGCAGGAATGGTGTAAGCTATTTTTCCTATCTTTCAAACTTGGAGTTTTTTTTTTACTATTATTATTACACTATTCCAGAAGATGAAAAAACATAACCTTTTGCAATGTATTCTTCAGTATTTATGTGTCATTCCTACAAAATTCATGGATGTGACATGGATGTTGAAGAATTTTATCAAGCAGATTGTGCTTTTAAGGGGGATAGAAGCATGTGTTATTTGAAATGGGTAAAAATAATCTCAAATTGTAGAAGACAGTTGTGAAAATATGCATGCCTCCATATACAAGGAGACTTCAAAAAATTCATGGAAATGGAATTTCAGGCTTTGTTGACTTGGGTGCAGATTTACTTATTTATTTTTAATCTATGCCTGATACTTGTGTAGCGTCTGTTTCCCATGGACTCTGGCAGGCCACTCATCTTATTAATATAGATGTTATCACCGATAATGCCTGCGTACTAGTGTTGTTATTAGTTTCCAGAGTGTGCTAGGCATGGTGGTGCCTGTCACAGGGATTTTTGCAAGACAAAAGGACCTGCAGGCATCTGGGATTGCTTCTCCCCACTGGACCTTGGATGTTGCAGAACCTGAGGGCTAAAAGGCAGCACTGGGTAAAAGTGAGAGAGAGGGATGCAGGAGAGCACCAGATTGACCAGTGACTGGGTGCAGAGTGATGCCAGAAATGGAGGAGAAATGTAGCTGTGATCTCTGCCTCCAAGAAATTTACATAAAGTGGAAAAATTATACTCCAGCCCTAAGCTTTTAATTTGCAATTTCTCTCACAGTCCAAATGTCGTTTAAAAATTGGCCTTCTAGCCCCAGGAGAATTCCCTCACTTCCGTTGTCAGAACAGCAGAAAAATAATAAAAAATGAGATTTAGGGGAGCTGCTTGTGCCTGGTTTTACACTGCATACTCTGCTTCCTTCCCTTACAACATCTGCACTCTTTCTACTGCTGTGGCAAATTTTTGTTACAATTCTTTAGTCTACAGTAATCAGTAATTAGTGTAGAAGAATCTGGACAGTTTGATGTGGAAGTTACAGACCTCAGAAGAGTTCTTACACTGATACACCTGCCTCTTGGCTGGTATTTCCCAGCTCAGTTTTATGTTCAATAAAAAACATATCTTGTTGTTACAGCTGAGATAGCTGAGTTTTTAATTTTATTCTTTCTGCCCACCTAAGTGGACCCTACCGGTTGCCAAATACCACATGGAAAGGTGTGAGGGACAAGGGGCTTGACAAGAGGAGTGAGCAGTATTCTAGAACATCCTAGGAGAGGCACATTCTGTGTTGTTTCCAAAGGAAGTGAATTGGTTCTTGTTTCTCTCTCGCTCGCTCTCGCTCTCCTTCTCCCTCCTTTTCCTCTCCCCCACCCTCTTTTTCTCTCTCTTATACAGACACACATGCTCTCTTTCTCTCTCTCTCTGATATTTTATTGGATACATTGGAAACTGTTAATTAGAGGGGCAAACTTCAGGCTTCATGGGACCTAACATGCAGTCTGTTGGTCCTCTTTAGGTAAAGAACAAAAATACCACACATGGGAGTTTTTATGAAGCCTGTGTCTGCATTGCCACTTTGTTAGGTGAGAGACTCCTCATGGGCCTTTGGAAGTCCCAAAGCTCAAGTGTGGGTGGTTGGATTCAAAGTGTGGCCGTCTTTGGCTTGCTCATAAAATGATAAGGAATTCCAACTAAGATAATATTTTTCAACTCGGACTTGGTGGAATATAAAAATACCTATTTATACAATGTGTGATCCAGGCAAAGCAAAAATAGGACAGGACCTTGAAAAAGCTTGAAGTTTATGATAGCCTGTGAAAGGAGCCGCTGGTCTTCCCCCCCCCCCCCCGTCCCCTCCTGCCCCCAGCTGCCCAGAGAGCTTGTCTGGCAAGTGACAGCCTCAATGATTTTATTCCAAAAGCCAGCACATTTTAGTGTCTGTTTTCTCCTAATTTAATAGATAGGGATGATTTGAATCTGCTCTTGGAGAGAGCTCTACCGATTGGGAATAAAATGCAAAGAAAACCAAGGGCTGCAGCCTACAGCTTAGTCGATAAGGAAAGAGACACCTGAATTTGAAAATCGATTCAGGGTGTGTGTCAAGAGTGTTAGTAGTGATGGGTAATTCATCCCCAGGAACACAGTAACCATTTTTGGTTGATCAGATTTCATTTGTTAAAATAAGTAATTAAATAGTTGAAGATGTATTGATTAATCATAGCATTTTCAAGAGGGGCATTTTAGAATCACTGCATATGCCATGAATAAGAGCAGAAAGATGAAGCACCGAGATTCCACAAAATAGCTTCCTAGAAATGCAATTAACTGATTTTTTTCCCTGAAGTTCAGAGAAGATGAATGATGTAGGCTTCCTATTTCCTGTCACTCTTGGCTACCTTTGTATGAAAATGGATTTCTTCCAAATTAAAGTCAGCACCAGCCTGTCAGGCGAAAAAGGCATGTGTACATTACATATTCATGTCAGTCCAAGTTTCTTAATTACATTTGAGATATATAATGTTTTTAAATCCAAGTGCCTGTCACACTGTTCCTGGGGGAAGAGGGTGTGAGGCAGCTTGGAGACCCCACTTTGTTTTCTGCTGCAGGGGTATTCTGCCTGTCTGTCCCCCAGCCCATGTCTCTACTCACTCAGGACAGGCAGAGTCCCCCTTCTGCATGATGTGCTGTCTTAGCAACAGTGCTGGTGCCACAACCCTGAGCTACCTCCTGTCCATGTGATGTATGACTCCACCCACTTAGGGTTTGGAGTACTTGGCTGTGAGTACTTGGAAGAGCCAGAAAGAGCCGACTTTGAAGTTGGGTAGAAAGTGCTGGCTTTCTCCATTGCTGACAGGTCATTTTGAAGGTCATGGTGGAGGTTGGCCCATGGAGACATTTCCATATTCTTTAATCTTTTTGTGTTCAGCCAGTGAGACCTAAAAGGTAAGACTTCACTTAATAACCTGAAGTGATTTCAGTGT